CCCAGCTTTTTAGAACAGGCCAGCACAATATTGTACACTAACATTATATTCATATGCCGAACAACCTCATATCCAACTCTCATATTAGTTTTGTAATGTATAAGAACAAAGCACAACCAATATCTTTCAAGCTGTACACTAAGCAAGAGTATCATGAAATTTGACACTAATGAAAGAAGAAAAATCATATGATTCAGGATGAAACACCAAATACTCACAACGTGGAACCATTGTAGGCACACCAATATATGCTTTTGAAAGATATGATTACAAGAAAAAGAAAAAAATAAATCAACTGAAACATAACGTATTGTACAGTTTAGCAGATAATTTCTCCCACAAGATTATTAATGTTCTCTCCACCAAATTTAGAGTTATTTCCTTACGTACAGAAGCACAGTGGCAGGCATATAACAAGAGTACCATGAAGCTTAGATTCAATGTATCAAAGTTCAAAGTAACAAAAAAGATGAACGTAATTTATGGAACATACAGAGAACAGAGAAACACGTTACCTATTGTTGACTTTCATTTGAACAGATGGCCCAATGTATTTCACACGGTCACCTAAGGATTTTAACAACACATTAACTTATATATTGAACAAAAATTTTAATACCAATTGGTCATTAATAAATAAGCAAGCAATACGATAAAAAAGCAATACAGACAGACAGATAGGCAGAGAGAGGGAGAGAAGGAAAAAGATGAATTATCAAAATTTAGCATACAGCCACATAGCTTACTCCAACATCACAGGCACAGCCAACGGCAATTTCAGTATTTTCCACAACAGAAACCAATAGAGAACTGAAATGCATGGGCAACCTCTTCCATGCCAAGGGTGATGAAAGTTTTGCCAATGGAATTAGTGCTTACTCAGATGAGAACTGAGAATAATTGATACCTTAATCTGCTTATATGCACATAAAGTAGGCTTCCATGTAAGAAAAGTTTCAGCTAAAGAAATAGTTAACCTTTCTTCAATTGGCATCCAGATGGGTCAGAAGGCTTCACAACTTCAGATTTGGTTGACTCAGAATTTTCTGACTCTTCAGATGACCTCTGGTCAGAACAAAGGAAACAAATAGACATGAAAGATCTGTAGTAACAAAATGAGTTCAAAAGTTGACTAAGAGGTTACACTTAGATATTCATGTACGTTTAAAATTCTTCAGAGAAGACCTATACAAGAGTTTCAATCATGATAATTCCCAGAAGGCATATTATAGCATAGCACTCTACTCCAATTCAGCTAAGGCTATTATGTTACCCTCATGAGGTAAACCATATAGACACCTTTTCAAAGTCTTCAACGTTGTAAGGAACAAGTTTCTGAACAGCTGCTTTCACCTTCTTTAGGGCTGCTTCAGCAGTTGCTATCGCATCATGTTCTTCGTTATCACTGGCATCTGACTTTGCCTCAGCACTACTAGTCCACTCTTCTTCGTTGTTATCATCTTCATTCTCGGACTCCAGAGAAGCCTCCTCCCCAGATTCTGCATTATCATCATCAGACTCGCATTCTGATGAAGATATGTCATCATCGATATACTGCATGACAGTAGGAAGAAAATATGAGTATTAGTAACCTTGCCTTGGAACCCCAAAAGCATTAAACCAATAATTAAATTGCAATTTAACTTCATCCAGAACTTACATAAGGAGCAAGGATATTGCTATCAAGCACCAGTAGGGGGACTTTTAGATCTTGTGCAAGTGCTCTAACTAATCTCTCTCGATATAGCTCAGTACCTGAAGAGAACAAGACAGCATGAACGTTCAGGAGAAAAAAATATGACTTAGGCAAAACAGATGCCAGATAAGCAATGAAATGTGATATATGTAAATAAAATAATAATGACTAAAACTGAACGAAAAAGATGGCATACCAGGCACGCTCTGAAGCAATATTCTCCCACTTGAAGATGAGAGGCGAGTCCCATAAGAAGAAGCAACCTTATTATGTCTCAAATGGGAAGCGGCACATTCCAAGAGAAGATTTTTGGTATTCTCACTATGAACGGAAACAGAAAATCAAGTCATAAATCTACATTAGAAAACCAAATAAGAGTAGACATTAAAGCCTACAAGAATGAGAAAGGATAGTAAGTAATTACTGAATATAGTAAGGAAATGTGTCCCATGAAATGTTTATTTTCTCCCAAGGAACAACCCTTCTCAGAAACTCATTTTTGAACTTATCCTTTCTGGTTAAAAAGGGTGATTCTCTCTTTTTATTTTCAATGGCAATCTTCTCATTCTTGAGCCACTCCTCTTGATCATGTTTCCCAAGTTGAGCATGAGCATTACAGAGTTTGGCATCTTCCCCAAACTTATCTTGCCAGTTCTTTTGCTTATCACAGCGAGCTCCATCATTTGCGTTTACATGGTTGCCCTCACTAGCATTCCTTCCATCACTTTCAGAACTGTAGAAGCGTAACTGAGTACTTCTCAAATATGAACTAGGCCTTCTGTTCAGATCAGTACAACTACTATTAGATGATCCGACCCTAGATAAAAAAGATTCCAATAGACGTCTCTTTACTATAATATCATGTGAAACACATTCTTCCACGGTAGTCTTAGGGCACAGAGATTGAAAGCATGCATGACCATAGCGTCTTGGCCTAATTAAGTATTTGAGTGGCTGAAGTGAAACGCCCCACCTCCAATCTCGACATTGTATTCTCCTCAAGTACATTGAAATTACAGTTTTTCTCCTACTCTTCTAATGCTGCAGCAAGAGAACCCTTTCATCAGACTATATGCACGCAAAACCATTAATAGTTATGGTAACTACATTACCCAATAACTTTATGGTTCAGACTGCAACCAAAAGTGAGGATAAGCAAAATTAAATTCATTCATATAGACTATGCTAAGAAATTTTATAACATTCGACCAAAAAAATGGAACTCATGAGAAATCATATCTTGATGGAACTCCTAATGAATTTGAAGTTTATCTTTATCTAGCATGTGAGTTTATTGTTGTCTTAAGTCTTGAGTTCATTATTTTAGAGCTTAGCACCAACAGTTTGAGATGTATTATATCATGGAATTCCTTGTCAGTGCCAGCCTCCTCATTCAATGTATTTCTGCTCTTAACTTGAATTCACGGGATATACCAATATAGTTTACCATTTCAACAGAAATAAATACAACTGATTAATTCAGAAGTATCCTTCAAGAACAAGGTACACTAATGAATGAGACAAATATGTTAAATGATAGTGGATGAGAGAGGTAAAATATGATTTCCCTGAGTTTTTAAAAATAATTTTAGGTGAAATTCTTGAGGAGATTTTCCAAGAACACAAAGGATGAAACCCACGTATGGCTGATCATTCTCATGTCACTCCTAACTATTTTAGTCTTTGATATTAAGATTTAGATAGTCAGTCAGGTTTAGGCCTTGGAATATCATTTCACACAGTTCACATTCATGCAAATGGTAGGAAACGGGAACCGTGTCCCTGTCACACAATGTGTGCATTCCAACTACATCCTTGACATAACTCGATAAGAACGATATGAACAAATTGAGATTAATATTCTGTTCATCATTAGTCATTAGAATAAAGTCACCTGACCAACATTATGCGAAACAATATATATCACTCCCTTCATGTATGGCTGGCCTAAATAGCAATATAAGAGACCGGATGCGATTTGTTCAAATACTGACATCATAACCTGAATATTAAGCATACACACACAAAGTATAGAATGGTACTTTCGTGATCAAAATGCACCGTACATAAGAAAACAGGTTAAAAAAAGGCGATTACTATGTATATTGGATTATGTGAAGGAGGGAACCGTTCAATTTAGCACTTTGCAATGAACAAATCCAGAACTGATCTACCAGAAAGGAGAGATGAGGACCTTACGAAGGTCATCCTAGAATTGCCAGCAAGCATGCTTATTTATTTACGCTTCATATCAGATGATATATATTCATCGTGCACCATTATGCAAACATTCGAACATGTGCATCGAAAGGATGAGTCTTCAAATTAGCGAGACCGGGGGGGGGGGGGGGAAGGGATCCCCCTGAACACTAGTCCCCAAGACGATAAACAGAAAAACGCAGATACGCAGATAACATAAAACCACAACAGATTGAAGAAAAACTCCTTTTTGTTAATAACTAAAAGTCCAGATTGTTATGCTTTCCCGTGGTCGGTTTGATCCAATCACATGTAGAATCATTCGCTCTGGTGCGATATACAGAATCAAATGATGATAGAGGGAGAAAGCACACCGTTTGCAAGTAAATATCCTCTGTACAATTGTAGGTGTTAGCCTGTGGCCATAAAAGAATGTGCGGAAGGAGCGCCCAGAAGAAGAGAAGGATGCGGGTGCTGTGAGGGACGAGGAGGCAAGTTATCAACTCAGATGGTGCAGCAGAACAACAGGAACATTGTTGGACACTTCCGGAACTAGCATCCGTCCTCGGACCTTGGTTCGTGCTTCTTAGGTTTTCTGGTTTCGCTGCTAAGGCCCATCGGAGGGCTGGTCCACTAAGGCCCAAACAAGGCCCATTTAATTAGAGTTTTAATAAGATAATGAAAGGCAATAATTAACTTGAAATTCTTTTTTCTTTTTGAAATTTATTTTAATTCGTCATAGATTCCAGCCAACCTTTTCGTTAGCTGGAACGTTTTGAGAAAATAAATAAAGAAAGTAATTTTTAACCGCACCAGTTTCTTGTATATCTTAGAGTTGATATCCAAAATTTATTCCTTTTAGCTAGTCCTCAAGAATCACTGTCCAACAACAGTAGCTCAAGATTACACATATAGCTTAGGAAAAGGGGAGCCTTATTGAAATGCTAATTAAGATGACGCATGTCTGCCATTATATATAACGGTGCTTAGTTATTTCTGAATAACGAATGCAGAGGGGTCATACTTAATATGGAATGAAGAAGCTTCCAACAGAGCGAAGCTGGATAGATCTTATTGCGAGAGGGGGTAGAGTGGATGGGATGTTCTATGTCATCTCAACTTGTGCAGCTGCGCGCTTCTTTCTGGCCTGATCTGCAGCCTCAATATCGTCGTACAAGGAACTCCCGTACTTGGAAACGGAATTGTCAAGCTTATCACCCTGACCCCATATGGCATACGCCTCTTCCCCGTGAGCAGCCTCGTCCCCTACCTCCATATCCTCTTCCGACATCCTCAAAGGCATCAACAGCCGAATGAAGAGACATATCAAGCTGGTGGCGACCACATTGAGCAGCGTCACAAACAAGATCCCCAGCAGCTGGACCCCCATCTGTCGGAGGCCGGTTTTGGCGTCTCTCATTTGGAGACCATAGAAGAGGCCCACATATTTGTTGTAGGCGCCATAGAACAGAAAGTTGAGCTTCGGCTCCGCAAAGAGGCCCGAGAGGATGCCTCCCAGAGATCCGGCGACGGCATGAGTGTGGAACACGGCCATAGTGTCGTCCACCTTCTGAAGCAGCTTAGATCTCTTGTGCACTACCATCATTGTGACCCAGGGAATGGAGCCCGAGCACATCCCCATGATGATGGCGGCCCATCCCTGCACAACACCTGCAGCAGGAGTGATGCAGACCAAGCCGGTGATCATGCCCTGAACCGCGCCGATCACGGAAGGCTTGCGGAAGAAGATGACGTCGAGGACGACCCAGGTGAGCAGGCTGGTGGCGGTGCATGCGTGCGTGTTCAGCACAGCCAAGGACGCGTCCATGCTTACCGAGTAAGGGTCTCCTCCGTTGAAGCCCGTCCATCCCATCCACAGCAATCCCGCTCCTGCCAACATCAGCAGTATGTTGTTCGGAGGAAACCTTTCTCTGTCCTTGTTCAGCCTCGGACCAACCTGCATGCAAGGCAAGCCACCAACCCACTTCATTATTATTCTTCATCCCTCACCTTCATCATATTTGTTAATCAATTAGGTGCTTACCCAATATGCTGCAGTGAATCCAGCAACCCCGGACGAGAGATGAATTACGTATCCTCCAGAGTAATCTATTAAGCCCATCTTGGACAGAAAGCCGTCAGGACACCAGATGCTGAAAGCTGTGAAGGTGTAGGAGAAAGTGAGCCAAAGAGGCACGAACAGCATCCAGGCGTAGAAGTTCATGCGGCCCAACACGGCCCCGGCGACGAGAATGAGGGTGATGCAAGCAAACACGCCCTGGAAATACATCATTGTGGCGTTTGGGAACAGGCCAAGAAAAGCCTGCTTGAAGAGGTAATTCTCGTCCACTGACAGAGCAGGCTTTCCCCAGAATGGCAGCAGCTTATCCCCAAACGACAGTCGGTAACCCCATGTCACCCAGCAGACGAAAACACAAGCAAAAGCATAGAGCGACATGAAGGCTGAGTTCACCGCCCATTTCTTCTTCACTGCCCCTCCATATAAGATTATGAGTCCGGGCACGCTTTGAATCCCAACTAGTGTCGCCGCCGTGAGCTGCCATGCATTGTCTGCTTTGCTCATCCAGTCGGGGCTTGCTGGGGAGGATGCGAGGTTTGACGGATATGACATTTTTATTAATTTATTCCCCCAGTCACCTATACTATTAAGACCAGCAGTACGCTGCGAAATAATCTGACTAGTGCAAGAATGGTTCATAAGAAGCGGGGTTTTATATGGAGGACTTCACTTTTAATTTGATTCTCACGCCTAGCTGTTCTCATCATGCTAGCTTTCTCCAATTGTCGTCCAGCTGCTTTGTCTTAGGCCACTTCGCTGCTAATACTATTGTTTACATGCAGACGGGTATTCCAACCATGTTTCTTAACGCTATATTCTATGCACGCTCATTGGTGAATTCATGTTATGATCGTCAATTTCAGCTAAAAAGCCCGTCATCCGTTATTGTCAATGTCATACCGACCTATTTTATATTTTATCTTACCTCTGATTCTTAATATAAGAGCTAGTTTAGTATCCGGTTTAGTTCTAAATATAAAAGCCTAATCCATTTCGTTTTTCATGTTTATCCGGTTTTTTCAAAATAATTATTGTAGTAGTTGCACGTGTTAAATGTTTCATCAAATGGTTATTTTACCAAGTACATATGACTAGAAAGAATATTTTAAGAAACATAACATCTATTTACCGTAAATAACTAACTTAATAAACTTTTTAAATTTATTTAAATTAATTAATTAGTTTTTATATTAAGTACCACGTAGTGTATAAGTTGTCCCCTCTGTTCCAGATTCAGTGCAGTACGTAAATTCTCTTCCCAATTGCAATATGTTTGTATGTACGGACGCATGTTGTCTCGTGATGCATTGACGAGGCCCCCCACTTCTTAATATTGGAGAATCAAACCCTTGTCAAACGAAAATTCATTTGATCTCAATTTTTAATTGAAAAAAAAGAAACCCTTTACAGTTATATGATTTTTCCTCTCAAATCTCTAATTAACCCAATAAATATATTATTGTTACATATAAACATATATCTTTTATAAGTAATTCCAAATGATTTTCCCCCCTCAAAATCCGAATAATAAATATTGAGAAAATAGCCCCACGATGAATAAATATGTTTTATATTGGAGGCACTCTTATTTAAAATACCGTCAAGTACTAAACATGAGTATTTTTTTTCCAATAAAGATTCAAACCTTAATTCGCCTATCATATTTATTAATAATTTATGTTGAATAATAAATGTCTTCTGTAGGTTAGCTTAAATTTTTTTTTTGGCCAAAAGAATTGAGGTTAGCTTAAATTTGAGTTCAAATTCTTGCCCATTATATTTCATCAGGTTTAATGATTTATATATTTATTATACGTAATATAAAAATTCTAATATAACGCGTCACTCATGAGACATAAACAATATAGTCCTAATAGTAAATCATGATCAGTGCGATTCATTTATTATATTGCACGAGACACACATTAGTTTAACCCAAAATCAGAAAGTATTTTTGTATAGAGGACTAAATTTTGTGCATTACACGAGACATACATTAATTTAACCCAAAATCAGAAAGTATTTTTGTACAGAGGACACCAATGGTCTTTGACAATTTCCAATTTCAACATCATAATATCATCCACTAGATACTGTACACAATAATTATGGGGCTACAACATACTAGTTCTTTAACAACATTGCCAGGTTTATATAACTACAAAACTTCCCAAATCCAGCTGTAGCTTATGGTGCTCCCTTTGATTCTCATGAGAAGCAACAGAACTCGAGCAAAAGTATTCTCCTGCGCCGCTCGTCATCAGCAAAAGTAATCCAGATCCCCAGAATCGTATCCAACAGAATAAAATCATCTGAGAATGAAAAGGCACTTTGGCATGAGGCGGTGCAGGCACAAATATGCTAATCATACGTTATTTATACAAGGCAGACAACAAATACATACATGGAATTATTAACCTTTTTCGCATGAAATAGAATCTTCTGAGGCAAAGAAGTTAATTCGAGGTAAGGGCAAACTTTCATTTTTAATTCTTGAAGTAATACTCGAACTACCCAGAATTTATTTTTTGGTGGGCAGCTATACCACGGACCCTTGTGCTTCATAATTTTCCAAAGGGTTTCTTTACAGTCCCTTGCATCTTCCAAATGGTTTCACGTTAGTCTCTAACGTTTTGTAATGTTTAGAATGTAATTCCTGTTGTTTCAACAGTCCCAAAATCTTCAACCGGGATTCTCCACCATTTGAGATGTCATTGACGCTGTGGAATCACCGCAATCACAGTATGCTTGAGAAGCACTGACCCTTTTGTTTCATGAAATTACAGAAGATGTGAAAGATTGAACTACCAAATCCAAATCTCAACTCTCCACTTTGAAGGTGTGAGTGAGGGATGAACCCCAAACTGTGACTGGGGATTACATGAGGGAAAGACAAAAGATGGTTAAGAAATAAATTATGATATAATTTTCATGTCAGTTCTGCTGCCATTCTGTCCGTAAGCAATGCCTGAGTCGGGTCAGACAATTCCTTAAATGGAGTTAACAAAAAAGAATGATATTGAACCTTGTTTGACTTTGAGAATTGCTATAATCAATCATTGAACCAAAATAAAGGTTGAAGGGCTAGTTCGAAATTTGAATAGAACTTCAAGGATCGGACTAACTTTTGCTAGAGATGAACAATATTAAAAAGAACTTCCTGACATCTGCAAAAGACCTGCTCTAAATTATTACTATCAACCAAATGACGCCATTATAGCTTCACAAACCAATGTGATTTAAATCAAATGATGCAGATACAAGAAAATTTAAAAACTCCAAAATAATAAGAGAGTAAATAAATTGAGGCAAACATGTTATCTGGCACCTCGTGATTGAGAGCCAATGGTGGCAGTAACTTATCTGCATACAACGGGGACAATGGAGGATTTGGAGGACACTACACAAGCAGAGATTTATTTAAGTTTTTGTCCAAATTCCACTAAAGATCCTTAGGACACACCTATAAATCAGAAGGAAGAATAACGAAGTTATACCTGAAGACAGGAGGCAGGACACGAGTCTTGCTTGTTGAATCATTGCGAGGGAATAGTCATATTACCTCAATGGCATCTACAGGGGTGGTTGGACCTCCCCTCCTCACCTCTGCCAGAAGAAACCTCAGCTGGCATGCCCAAGATTCTCTCCCACCCTCTCTTAAGTGATTTGACAGCAAGCAGGGTGTATATAATTTCTAGCTTCGCTAATTAATTAAACTCAATGTAATGTAATATAACTTTCTCGAGCTTTAATTTTTGGCCCATTGTTATTGTAGCTAATAATTAAAGCCAAGATTATTAAATATAATTCCACGGAACTTCAGTTACTAGCCTAGTCTGGCCGCGATTAATAATGAAACCCATATTTAAGCCCAACACTAAATATGATATTCTTTAAACTTAGTTCAATACTAAATAGTGACAATGAAATTATATTATGCATGCCATTAATCCCAATTACGTAATTAATTCCTGGTCTACGTCTACTCTTTTGTGGGACTATGAAGGTTCTTATTACATCAGCAATGATCTTTAGATTACAATGGGCGACAGCTAGCGGTATATTTCTGTTACCGAAGTGCTAGGAATGTCCATGATTCAACAAATCTAGTCCATCATTAGTAAACCATGTTCCTTATTCCCCCTTATTCAAGTATCCAGATTAAACTTGAGGCATGGAATGTGTCGTCTTTATGATTCAAGCTACATTTTTTGATCCCCAAGTAGACTGATCAAAACCAAATGAATCAATATCACTATTTCATTCATCTGAGCACAATCACGCATGTCTTTTCTTTCTTTTAAAAACTTTTTATAACCCACAATCATGCATTTCTTAGCTCTGCTAATTCATGGAACCCACAGATATCATTCTACATGATTTGTGATACATTCAAGTTCAACCACTGCCTTTTGGCCATGTCTATCACTTGATAACGTGACGCCAAAGTGTACAACTCCTATTGCAGCGAGTCATAGTGACTTCAACTCTAAGGTGACCACATGCATTATAGTTACTATAAGTATCATTGATGACACTTTCCATCAATCCATGCAGCATTATCATAGCGGATCAGCTCATCATCCTTGTTCTCCAACCAGCACCCATGTATTGATTTGATATCTCTCATATCCATGACTACAGTCATCAGCCAGCATATATTGATGCTACTAAGAATATATTCTAGGGGCAGTCATATGTTGATGGGACAATTGCAATAAGGTCCCATGGAAGGAACATGTTCACAAAATGTGTCCCATAACAAGTGAGCAACTTGTAATAACAAGTTTCAGAACAAGAAATAATAACTGGTTTCAACTACTCACTCATCATTAGGACTCTTTCATAATAATCTTTCTTCTTTAGGACCTCACTATAATTCTCCCTGTATTGATTTTTATTGCACAAATATAACAGAACATAATAACTCGATTTTGCTTCTTAACAAATCTTAGTACAATGCATGTTATAACAATCATCTCATGATTGCTTTTTAGGACGTACGCTAACAGATAAATCGGAGGAGTTTCAACCCCCCCCTTTAAAAAAAAAAAAAAAAAGTTTGAATTCACGTTAGAGAGACTCTGGAGTTGGCATAGAAATCAATCAATTAATAATTCAGGGTACATAAACTATACCTGGGCCTCCTGCTACGAGGCTTAATTTATAGGACGTTCAATGCCACCTCCTGCCATAACCTCTTCCCTGATCCCATTGTCCAACTCCACGCCACCCACCAAATTGATCACCACCACGCCATCCACCAAATTGATCGCCACCACGCCATCCACCTAACTGATCACCACCACCTCTACCATCATGAATATAACGCCGAGGTCTTCTTTTCTCCACTGACAATACATAACCTCCAACCTCAGTTCCATCAAGTTCTAGTGCTTTGTTTAAGCCATCAATGTCCATGAAGTCTACCCAAGCATACCTGTAACGAGCACGCATTTACAACCAAGGTGGGCAATAATTATATATACTGATGATGATTATTCAAATTGACCAAGAATACAGAAAAATACTTCCGTATTCTAGTCAAATACTAAATTTTATATCATTATATTGCTGTTATGCTTTCTATATTGCCACTTCTATTTATCATTTTTCATTGCAATTCTTCACCAACACAACTTATATTATCATATTTTCATGTTTGCCAACACATAACTATGTCAAGTAATAAAAAATGTGAATACCACTCTTACTCTCGCCATGAAATTTATTCTTCTAAAACTATTCAGTAAAAAAAATTGATCATAAATTATAGGATTTCCTCTGACTCGGTTAGCAGTACAAAATAAAGCTCATTCAATTATAAAAGCATCTTATATAGCATGTAAGCTGTTATCTCTATTATTGTCATTTTATATGTTCGCACAGAATTTTGAAAATTATTAACAAACCTTTCAATGATCAATTCAACTACGATAAGTATGTCTTCATAAAAAAAAAATATTAAAAGAGAATTTCACCATGATCGAACTCACCTCCAAAATTGATATTAAAACATAGATAATAATCCACAGAGTGATTAAGCTACAGACAGTGATAAAATAGAAGGCAATAGCCTGGACAATACCAACAGAAACATAAAACCACCTCTAGCATTCGAGTTCAAGAGCCTAGGGAATCTCCAACATTCAACTCACGTATTGCCTAACCTCCACGAAACTCTTCTCCCCAAGCACATACAGCAAACAAACCCCTCTATCTCCCACAGACCTTAAACAATCCACATGGATCAGCCTTGCCTATTAGACAAGGGCCCACTAGCTATGGGTCCCACACAATTTTTTTTACCAAACATTATTTTTACTCCATTTTTAACATCCGCAACATTCTTAGATTGATACCAAATTGTTTTTGTTCCCTTTATGCAATGTCAAGACAGCAAGACTGAAAGGCATATGCAAAAAATAACAGCACCCACTTATATGAGATAAAACTATAGAGGCTTGTTAAAAATTTTCAGAGTTTATTACTACATATTATCGAGTTAACTAAGACATTGGCCATTATAAACAATGAACAATGAAAGAAACATGCCCCTTAGTAGAACCAGTGTCATAATCTCTTGCAATTGATATCCTCGAAATTAGTCCACAAGAACTGAAATGCTCTCCCAGACTGGTCCTTATCTGAAAGAACAGAATTGGAGTCATTAGCAACTAAGAAATAAGAATACAAATTATGCCTTAAATAATGAGACGTGCATGCAATATTGTCCACAAGAAAAATAACAACATCAAGCCTTATCACACTAAGTGGGGTCGATTACAAGGATCGCACGATGCTATTATGCTCTCTGAACAACCAAATCCTTAGATAGGTTGTTAACCAAAAGGTCCCCTTCAATTGGAATCATTCTTATCCACAAGAAATAAAGCAAGAAATATGGTTGAGATAGAATTACCTCATCTTCTCTTAAAGATGTATCAAAACCCCTTACAAACACTGTTTGAGACTCAACACTTCCAGAGTTTTCCGTGTTCCCATGAATGCTAACAAGTAAACAGAGAAGTGAAGATGTGGATGTAAGGCAGAGAATGAGATGAAATATTAAGATAGGAAGGTATTGGTGAATACCCGCTATTGAAAGAATGCACAATCTTTTCATGAGCCAAATCAAGCCTTATATATTGTCTCAACAGTTCGCTTCCATTCAACTTAAGGGCCTAGCATTACATGATAAAAATTCTTCAGCTCAAAATGGTCTACAAATCAATGAAGCACACCATCTTTGAACATTAATAAACCTCAGCAGAAGTAGGGACAGAACAAGCTTAGAGGTATAGCAGCTCAGAAGCACAAAGGAGAGAAGTACCGACTTGTACCCTCTATATTCGTAATGGTCAACCCTTGCTCAAAGAAGACAGACTTGTAATGATATTAAATCCTATGACAAACATTTCCATAGAATAGACTCTATGATGGAATATGATATCAATGAGGTTGGAACATAAATGTTAGTTATGTTCAACTAGTTATTGCAAGCTGCTTTGTTGTCAACGAGATTTTTTAGTAATTATATTTCTTCTTGGGAACTTTATAGCAATTCTCCCTAATAATAATAACAATCTAAACCCCCATCATATGATTTTTAAAGGGTTCTGAATGATGAGCGAACTAGACATTATGAGGTAAGAGCTTACAGTTTGTGCCGCTTCATAAGTGGCAAACTCAATATGTCCGAATCCTTTAAACCTCCCTTCACGATCTGTAGCTAAACGGATATCAATAATTTCTCCACAATCTTTAAACAAATTTTCCCTGAACAATGGTGAAATCATAAGTAAACAATAAACATACAAACATACAATAGCAGGCCTTAACCCCATAGGTAGGGTTAGCTATAAAAATTACATGACACCGTATGAAATAACTACCGAGAACTTGCATATCAAATAGTACGTACAAATCAGCCCTTTCCACGCTATACGACAGGTTTCCAACAAATACTGTCTTTGATGTGGCATTTTGTTCTTTTGGAGCAGCTGGCATTTTAGCCTGTAACATTTCATAGAATCAAGCATGAGATCACTGACTGAAAGACAAGTCACAATTATTTCATGCCCTCATCATAAGATAAAGAAATAAACATTTATGTCAAAAATTTTCCTCCTTGTACATGCGGCAAAACATTTAAGCCACCAAAACTGACCATCCAACGCCTAAAAGATTTTCAACCTATAGGTCCTAAGAAGCAAGGTTAGTTTAGTTTCTATGCACGAATTGAACTAAAGTAGTAGGAAGAAAAACAACATAAACCAATTGAACTAGATGCTACCACCCATCTAGCGGTTTATGAATCACAAATAAGCTAATAAAATTGATTAATTTTTATATGCATGAATAATATCCCATCAGAAAACAGGCAACTGAATAAGATAAAATTACCTCATTCCCTCCTAACGATTTATCCTCCTGGGATGATTCATTCCTGTTGCTACAATCATTAACAAACCAACAGAATAAGGAAATCATGGATACAAGGTAGAAATGGGGAAAAATTAAGGCAATCAAAAGGGCGTTTCACAAATACTTGCTACTGTGGGAATATACACCCCTTTCATGAGCTAGATCAAGCCTGAGAGAACGTCTCAACAGTTCTTTCCCGTTCAACATAAGGGCCTGATATTACATGATGAAATTCTTCAGCATAATGTACTTTAGGTACAAACAAATTAATGAAGCATGCCATCTTCGCACTTTATGAGTTCTCAGCGAAAATAACGAAAGACCAAACTAAAGCATAGCTGCACAGCCAACATTATAAATGAAAACCTGCTATGCAAAAATCAGGACAGAAATATCAACTTATACCCTTTATCATTAATATTTGAAAGGAATTATGTATAGATAAAGAGCTAAATATGATAGACACTACTAAAGCTATCATCCATGACAAGTGGTAATGGGAGATATTGATGTAAAGCAGCATGGGAAGGAGGAGAAAAGAAAGGAGGAAGAAAAGGACAACTCAGGGGAGAGAGAGTAACTGAAATCTCAAATTTATTCAATTCATCAAAGAGGTATAAGAAAGAGCTTTCCTATAAGGATTGGCCTCTATCAAGAATCTTCTTTGAGACCTTGTTTAACCTAATTTTAGATGTTTTAACTAAGCTTATACAAGAAGAAATCTCTAAGTGTATGCTTTTTCATAATGATATAGTTCTTATGACTGAGTCAAAAGAAAAGATTAACTCTATACTTGAATTATGGAGTCGAAAGGTTTTCACCTAAATAGAAGTAAGACAGAATATATGTACTACAAATTTGACAAGAGGCAAGTTAGAAGTGATTTTGAAGTTAAAATGAGGAATCAAATCATTCCACAAGTGGCAAAGTTATATTTCAGATTAATTATACAAAAAGATAGTGAAGTTGATCTAGATATTAGACATAGAATACAAGTTGAGTGGTTCAAATGGAAAAAGGCTACCAAAGTTATTTGTAATTGAAAAATACCTAATAAGCATAAAGAGAAGTTTTATCAAACTGCTATAAGACCAACAATGCTTCATGGTAGCGCATGTTGGGCTTTAAAGGGCTAAGAGCAAAAAATTAGGGCAACAGCGATGAGAATGCTAAGATGGATGTGTGATCATAGATGAAAAAGGTAAGATTCATAATGAACATATATGAGGAAGTGTTGGTGTGGCTTCTATTAAAGAAATAAGGGTAAAAAATTTATTTTGAGATGATTCAGACATATACAAAGAAGATCATTAGAGATGTTAATGAGAAGGATAGATTAAATATTATAGAGTTCTCTAAAAAGGGAGCAGAGGAATATAGAAATAAACACTCAATGAAGCTGTTCAATGAGACTTTTTGGTTAACAACATATACGAAGATTTGATTCTTGATAGAGCATAATAGTGTTTTGCGATCCATGTAGCTGACACTACCAAGTAACTTTAAGGCTTGTTGTTATATATCCTTGTTCATAATCCTAGTTAAACTACCACAATCCTAAACAATAGGATTAAATTTCATTCAAATTTTGAGAGTAGGGAGGCAAATTTGGAGAATTCTATATTCTTATTCATAAAGCATATTGTACAGAGGTATACATACACTGAGTTAGAGAAGCATAAAAGGAAAACTAATGAAGGCCCTAACAGTAAAGAATCAAGATATCAAAAATCAAATATAATGAAATAAAGTCTATAAATTTTCCTGATTCCTAGGAGTTAATCTCGGGATTTTCCACACTCTTCCTCAAGTTGGATAATAGATATTAATCACGTCCAACTTGCCCACAAACTCTTCAAATTTCTCTTTGTGGAGTCTTTTTGTAAAGATATCAGCTATTTGTCTCCATGTGGGCACATGAATAAGGGTAACCAGTCCGTTATCAATCTTTTCTCTAATGAAGTGTCTGTCCACCTCTACATGTTTGGTTCTGTCATGTTGAACCGGATTGTGGGATAGATTTATAGCAGCCATGCTCTCAGTGTACAATTTCATGGGGAACTCTATTTGAATCTTCTGTTCTTCTAAGATTCTTTCTATCCAGATTATTTCACATGTCACTTGCGCTATATAACTCGATACTCTGATTCTACACTGCTTCGTGATACCACATTTGTTTCTTCCTTCT